AAACTGTTTTCAAGACGAGCTTCATCGAGCTCGAATTTTGCTCTTTTTTTAAAGAAAAATCAAATAAATTATTAACATTTATTTTTTTTTTTTCATTGCAGAGGACATATTATTGGAAAGAGGATGATGCTCATGTGTATAAAATCTGGAGATTACATTGTTGAAACTGTTTTCAAGACGAGCTTCATCGAGCTCGAAAGGCGTGGGTCAAGGAGAAGAAGTTGCCCGAGTTCATGCATAAAGATACCTTTAAAATTTTGTTGGCAAAATGGAGGAGTCCAAAATATATTGCACTCTAGGAAAGAGGTCGGCAAAACCAATCAAAGGGTGACTGTGTGACCCACACAACTGGATGCCTTTCTATTGGGATCCATGAAGATCGACTAGTTAGTAAGATATACTTATATATATACATATATACTTTTTTTTTTACCATAAAAATGGAAATGTTATTGATTTTATTGATGTTTTAATAGGCAGCTAAAAGAGGAGGAGTTAGGCCGACACCTTTAGAGTCGTACTTGTTGACTCACATGACTCGCCGACCTGATGCTCCAGAAGATGAAGATGCCCCACCTGCTTGGATATGTCCACAGGCTGAGCAGACATATGTAAGAATCGAATCTGATTCTTTTATGATATTAATTTTATTTATTTTTAATGTCATATTGTCATAAAAGAAGAAAAGTGATACAATTTTTTATCCATTGTATTTAGTAAATAATTATTTTTCATTTGATTTTCCATTATCATTTGAAGTTACTAATGAAATTTTTATTTTTGAAACAGAACAATGCTTACCAAAAATATGTGGAGAAGCATGGGCCAAACAAGGATTCATGGCCATAATGGGATCCACTTATCTGGAAGGAGGTGGTTGGACCTCCTAAAAAGGGTCAGATGAGAGGGATGTCTACATTATAGGATCCAGCAGAGCATGGCATTCCTTGGTGACGGTATGACATGAGTGACGCCTCCTCTTCTACCACCAGGATTCTTACGACTCAAGTTCAGCAGTTGTAGTCTGAGCTTACTCAAGTTCGGGAAGAAATGGCTGAGCGAGTTCAGACAGAGGTGGTTGCACGTATTCATACAAAGGTATCACAGAGAGTATCAGAGATGGAGGCCAGCTTTGAGAGGAGATTTCAAGAGCACATGCGCTTACTTAGCCAGCAATACTCTATGAATGCTACACAACCCCAGACTGGTTATCCTTCTTCTGCACCACCTCATACTGTTGATCCTTCTTTTGAAGGATTTAGACCTTATCACTTCCCACCTCATAGTTAGAGACATTGATATTTGAAACTTATATTATATATGTTTATATATATGTACTGCGTATGTGGATATATGGTATGTAGGATGAAAAGTTAATATATATTTTATTAACTTAAATTAGTTTTTAGTTATGTAGTATTTGAATTTAAATAAGTAAAATATATAATATTAATAAAATTTAACAATCCT